GGTTGGGGGTTGGAAAGGGGAGGGGGTGGGTAGGGAGATGAATGTATGTGTATGTATGTGAAAGACATGGATGGATACATGAATGTGGGATCAGGATTGCCGAGTGTTGGGTTGCTACAAGGGAATAACAATTTAACCATAAATTAATTACTATATATGTAGTTTAATGCTATCTCTTGACAATTTAATTAATTTTTTGGCTTTTTTTTTATTTTATAATTCACAATATTTGATATCTTTCAGATATCAAAAAAGAATTAACTATTTTTTTCCAAAGTTACCCTTGGAGTAAAGAGACTAAGAGTATTTGTTATATTTCCAATGAATAAATTAAGGTTAATATGGTCAGTTTCATTGTTAATTAATGCTAAGAGATAAATTCCTTAATATGTGTAAAAGCAATAAAAAAAAATCAATTATAGTGGACCGAAGGGAGTAAAAGTTTATGTAAAAGGTTAATATAGCATATATTAACTACGTGCACACGATGTATGGGGTAATTCAATAAATATAAAACATGTAAAAATTACTCTATTCGTTCTCATTTAGTTGTTATTGTTATGTATACTAAAAATAGTTATTCTTAAAATACTTGTCATTTATAAAATTAAGAGAAAATTATTTATTATTTTTCAACTTTACCTTTAATATTAATTGTTACTTCTACAATTAAGAAGCACGTAAATTGGCAAACATTAAAGAATTAATTAAGGATAATTTAGTCAAATTACTCTTCTCATTAATATTTTTCTTAATGGGCATGTAGAACCTAATCCTAACAACTAAATGAAAACAAAGAGAATATTTACGTAAATTTTTATTTAAATATCAAAAGTTGTGGTGGTACATGATGTTAGATAATACTCCATCCGTTCACTTTTATTTGTCCACTATGGACTTTGCACACCCCTTAAGAAATAATAAATAAAGTGTATAATATACCATGATACACATATTTATTAATGCATATTTTTAATGGATTTGAGAAAATGATTTGAAATGAGTAATTAATATTGTGGATATAACAGGAAAAAAGAAATTTTTTTCTCTTGATATGCTAAAAGGGACAAGTAAAAATGAAAATTTATTTTTAAAATACTGGACAAGTAAAAGTGACGGAGTGAGTAGTATTATCACTCTATTTAATACTCCCTTCGTTCACTTTTACTTGGCATATATACTAAAAATAGATTTTTATTTTTACTTGTCACTTTACGCATATATTAAGAGAAGGCAAATTTTTTTTCCTGTTATACTCACAGTATTTATTACTCATTTCAAATCATTTTCTCAAATCCAATAAAATATGCATCAATTAATATGGGCATTATGATAAATTATGCACTTCATTTATTATTTTTTAAGAGGCGTAAAAAGTCAAAATATGCCAAGTAAAAATGAACGGAAGAAGTATTATGTCATCGTATATGTTCCTAAAAAGATTTTAAAAAACAAATGAACGGAAGAAGTATCATGTCATCGTATATGTTCCTAAAAAGATTTTAAAAAACAACAAGTTTTAAATATTAGAATGAAGCATTTTAAGATTCACAGCGATATACCATGACAATGCAACAAATAAAACAAACGAAACGGGTCAAATCTATGTCATCTTAATTTGTGGCTAATACTCCTTATCAAATTAATTAACAATTTTTTTTTTTTTGGCATAGACCAATTAATTTAAACAAAATTTTCTTTGACTTGGTTATTATAATTTGCCATATCACCAATTGGACAAGATTACGAGGGCTATTTATGTGGGTTTTCCCTTTTCTTTTTTCACAAATATTTTTAGGTGAAGAACCAAAAAAAAGATAATTATTTAGCTGTAGTTTGTTCATTTTAACGTTGAAGATGGCGTATATATTTGGCTTTTAATTTAAGGAATTATCCCTATGGGATTTCTCTAACGTCATATTATTTGTTCTTTGAGATTTTTCCACAACCAAAATGACAATAATGTATATGTGATTTACTACTTGTAATGACTTGATTAACGTAATTCATATAGCTAGATTTACGAAGTTAATAGTAATATTTTTTCGCAAGCGACGAATTATGTAGTTGAGTGAAATATTCTCATAATTAAATTTAATATTCTTGCAAGACAAAAAAAAAATTACAAAGGAAGAGGAAGGTTTCAATTTAGCAAAATAACCAACCCCATTTTACAAAAGAGACCAGCCAACATGAAATGAAAGAAAAACTATTTTCTTACTTTTTTTATTTTTTATTTTTCTCTCTTATAAGGGAGTAGGTTTATTATTTTTGAAGTTCTCAACAAACCCAATGTAGAATTATAGCACGAAAAAGAAAGAAGTAGGAAGAAAGATTGAAACAAGGGCAAAATAATCAAACAAAGTGTACTACTGCGCTCACTAAAAAGAGTCGTGTGGAGTGATAAGTATTATTTCATCATTAATTAAAGGTTTCGGGTTCGAGCTCTGAACGTGGAGTCACCTTTATTAGGGAGCGGTTTACCTCCTAATGTGGGACTTTCCGGCGCAAATCCAGATTTAGTCGGGTCTCAATACGAGCCCGAATACTGAATAAAAAACCAAAAAAAAGTGTACTTTGTTTGGGAGCGCTTTATCCCAATCTGAAATTTTCTGGTGCGAAACCAGATTCATTCGGGCCTCAATATAAATACCGAATATGCGACGGAAAATCAGAAAAAGTGTACTGCATTCTCTCTTGCTTCCTTAATTCTTCACTTCTTTGTACGATAAACCCCAAACAAGAAAGTAGTACTACTATTCTTCGTAATATATTTGGTAGCGTTGGTTGCACAAAGTTGGTGCAAAAATAGTGCAAAAAACATTATATGTTTGAATATTTACAACGACGTATTTGTCAATCGGCCACCAATGCGTCTAGGTAAATTTGATCTATCGATCGGTTTGAAAAAAGTTATTTTGTTGGGGGGTCAAAAGTGCAATGATATTTGCAAAGAGAATACTGCTTCTAGAAAAAACTTTAAATTGCATTATTTTTTAATAACACTATCACATGATGTTGATCATTAGAATTATTTTAAAACCCAACTTTTTGCGACATTTACAACGTCCACAGTAAATCAAAGTTTAACACTTCGACATTGAAAATTGGAAGATTATCCTTGGAAATGATATAAATTATGTAAATCAGGGAGCAGTTTAAAGGCACTAAATTTGACTATTTGAGGTTTTACTAGTGCTCTTGACTAAAAATTTTATGGGCTAAAAATATATTTTTGAATATTTACGCGAATTATAAGTATTTTTTTCACAATATTACACACTTTCAAGTTAATAGGGCTTCTTCCGGTTATGCCACAATGCAACATCTATGAGCAGTGGCAAAGGGAAACCTTTTCAGTTGGTTATGCAAGGGTGTTCAAAGTCTGTTTTTAATCAATAACAAGTAATATTTTACCTTATATGTAATAGAATTTTCGGCGAAGGGTGGTCAGCTGACCACCCTTGGACCAACATAGCTTTGCCCCTGTCTATGAAAAATATATATTTTTAGTTGTTCCCAAAAATAATATATATATATATATATATATATATATATATATATATATATATATATATATATATATATATATAATAAGATATATATCTTATTATAATATGTAATTCACCTAAGTTATCATTTACACTCCTTCGTAATTAAGCATGTCAGCCTAGAACTACGAAGCTTGTCAATCTTTCTCTTTGACCCGCCCTTGTCAGTTTTGTATAGGTCCAAATTTGGTAACCACGATAACGGATAAGCAAGACAAAAGACGGGGTCGACCACGACACAACGACTGAAGGTCGTCCTCATGAAGGCTGACGCCAGAACCGGACAGCTAAGATAGAATAGTAACGGTAACTTAAGTTTAGAAATTAACATAAAGAATATTCTTTTGGATATTCTTTATGCTGTACTTTTAGGGCTTTTGGGGAATGTCCTTTATAAATAGGAAGAGATAGGGAACAAAAAGGGAAATCTGCCTTTTTGGAACTGGAACATATTGTAAAAGTTGAAAGAAGAATATACGAAAGAGTTGTCTTATTCATTTGTTCAAACACATGTTGTTCAACCTTTACCCATAAATCTCAAGATCCCATATACATTTTTGGATCTCTCGTTTTTCCACGACGCCGTCAGAGAAAAGGAATATCCCAGACACATAATCATTGGGTGATAGTTCCTTTCCCATTGTGATCTTTGTCATCGCTTACATTTATTACACATTTATGCTTTTGTTGATCATAGCAAATTAAGTCTGTTATTTAATGCTCCTGAACTCTATTCACTACATAAAAGCTTTATTTTATTTTATCTAGAATTTATTAAGCTCAACTGAGATTCACCCTTTAACTCATCATTAATTGGTTTAGCATTTATTTGCTCAAACAATTTGGCGCCGTCTGTGGGGAGGTTTTAGTTGAAACTATAGTTTTTTCTAGGTAAAAAAAACATCTTTTCTTCGTTTGCACTAACTGATAATGGCAGGAAAAGGAGATGCAAGACTGAAAGCGATAGCAGGCGTCACTGCCAACCTTCTAAACACCATCAACGAAGATGGCAGGGGAGACAACGAGAACGTGATACCAAACGCCACGCCCAGGCGGAGTGCTTCGCCTCCCTTTCACGAAAGCGTAACAGTTTCATGCGAAAGGGGAGCTTCCACGTCTACAGCTGAGGAATCACCATCAGCAGTGAAGAAATTACTGGAAGAGTGGCTGACAAGCACTCTAAACAACATGCTCGACAAACCTATTCAAAGGGAGAGCGGAAATACCGCGCAAACAGACACCGCTGCGATCACTGGCGAGCAGCCCATCCCTCAAACAGGTATCACTTACACCTCTGTTGA